GAAAAACGTCATAAGAACAATGTTTAGTGGCTCAGTGTATTACAGCAGTGTGTTTTTAAAAGTCTAAACACTTTATTGATATAGTGTACAACCAAGCACAAGTGGTCAGAATACAAACGAGTCACAGGTGATAAAGTATTAAGCGTTCTCCCAAAGTAAAGTGTGTCTGAACCAGGTCCAAGCAAAATGCCAGCAGGTGTCTGAAGCTCCGCTCACTCTCTGCCTATTTGCCCTTGTTTGGTATCCCCCGTGGGTGTGATGACACGCAAACAAAATGGCGATGGTTGGCCGCGCCTACTTGTGGCTTTTTTTGCGATCTTTAGAAACCTATGGGTGACATCAAGGATACTACGTCCATATATTTTACAGTCTATGGTCTAAACTATCCCAAAGAAGATTCATTTAAAACCAGGAAGAATAAGGTTCTACACAGATAGTAAAGTAGTGTTGGGTGGGGTCAAGACGGTTCCATGTATATGTGAGCAACAGAGTACCATCGCATCAGACGATGTACAATGCTTGATCAATGAAGGTATGTGCCCTCTGACCAAAATCCTGCTGATCATGGTTCTCATTCTGTTCTATCTGTGACCACAAACTGGCTAACAGGACCCTTAAATTTTCCTCTGTCCATCAGAGCCATCTTCCGACTGCCTTTGCCCATATAAGGATGCATGTTGAAATTCCCTCAGAAATGTGTCTCCTCTACCCACATCAAAGATATAAGCAATTCTCAAACTCGACAACAGCTGTCAGAGAATTGGTTTGGCATTTGTTTTTAAAGAGTCTGTATTTAAGTGATCATCTGAAAGCATGAAAACGCATAAGTTTTGCTAAGGTTACGCCATCCGTCCATACTACGCAGGAGTTTTCGAGCACCGTAAACGGAGCAATTTGAAAATGCTGAAGAAGCCGTTTTCATCCTTAAACGCTGCTGGTCTGTCTGAGTATGAATGAGGGAAAACAGAGACATCTGAAAACGGAGGCGGGGCTGCTGACATTTGTTTCTATTATTGGGGCTTTTCCTCAATATTAAGTAGACTAGCATAGCTCTCATCTGGGTAGATTGGCTGCAACGCTTGCTAGAAATTGTGTGTGTGGTCAAGTGATGTATATTTCAGCGTTTTGTGTAGACGGAGAGCTGATCAGAAACACTGGGTGAAAAGCTTGTGTGGACACGGATCGTTTTCATTATAAAACGCCGTTTTAAAACTAAAACGCACTAGTGTAAATGGGGCCAAAGAGGCAAATTAGATGAACAACAAATGGCTGACCAGCAGAGAAGCTACAGGTGGATCTACCTTTTTCTTATGTTAGCTTAGTTGTTTTTGGGCCATGGTAAGTGATCACATGCTGCACATCAAGTGGACAAGCCAATAGCAAGAGGTGAGGAGTTTTGTACGTGTGGCAGAGTGGACGAAACAGGGAGGGAGAAGCTAAAGTGCTCGAGGTTAGCTCACTTTGAAACACAACCCAACGACTTATTTTGATATTGTAAGAATCAGCTCTTTGGTTTAAATCATGTTTAAACTTTGGGGATTCGAATCAAAGATTCAAACATGATTCACATAGAATTATTTAAAGCTTACACTTAACTTTAGTATTTGTCCAGAAAATAGAACGTTTAATGTAAAGCAATTCTGTATTATATTATTACGTGGCCAACAATAACAATATAAAAACAGTATCTAATTATTTAATGAGCAAGGTAGCAGTATCTGAAGCTGACGCATTAACTTATAAAGCACACAACACACCAACACGGATCTTAAAACGAAACAAAAGTTTATTGCTACTCTATAACACAAAGTACTAATCTACGTAAAACAAACAAATGCACATACATACACACACGCACAAGCAGTTTGAGGAGAGTTTTGGCTGAGTGGATTTAACTTCTAGCCTTTGCTAAGTTCTTAACATTGCAACCTGAGAGAAACCATAAAAGCAGAGAATTTTGCTATTCTTTACTACTTAAACATAATTCACACCAGATTCAGTAATGGGTAGAAACCTTGTTTGTGCTACTTGCGTTCTGATGTAATTTTGGTTTCCTCGACTGGTCCAAAGGAAAATCCTGGTGAAGCTGATTGGTCAGCGTAGCAACTTCAGTGACGTGATGGAATTCCCTTGTCGGTGAAGAGGGGTTTCCTTAGTCGGTTGCTAGGGATACGGATGTTGGACAAGGCGGCGTTCGAAGTCCTTCCTGGGTTCCTGTAGTTATGATGAGTTTCAGAGTTTGGATGTGTTGACCCGATGGCTCGTTGTTGCACAAGCAGATCGGGGGTCAAGCCGGTAGCAAGTGAAGGTCGCGGTTTGCTCCGTGATGTAACGAGGCTTCCGGCGAGGCGATGTAACGGCCACAGCACGAGAAGAGCGACGTTCGGGCAGCGACGGCGGTGATGACTGGCAAAGATGACCGGCAAAAGACGACGATGAAATTCCTTTGTTCAAAGTTTTATAGGCTTTGGTAGAGGCTGGGTCTACACAATGCTTGTCCCCAATTCTGCCCTCTAGGATGCCGGGTTGACACATGGTGTGGGTGCTGCTTTGATAGCATAGTGGTTAAAATAAAATCTTATAACGTCGACACTTTTCATAGTATGGTTTCTTCATATAAACCAATGCATTTGAAATGTTCCCAGCTTTCAATCGATACCAAACATGAAGTATTTCACAAACATTCTGTAGATTTCATTTGTCACTGAGGGCTATTACTCAAGAACTATCTATAACAGTTTTGTTAAACACATGGAACATGTACACACAAAAACCTACAGAAACATAAAGCAAACATACATTACTCAAATAAACACAGTTTTACTGTATGTCCATTAAACTTTGGAAGCATTTCTGATCGCTTCTGTGTCTGCCTGAGAATGTGTATTCCTTGCAGACGCCAAAGGACACGCGAACCAAAAGGTACTTCTCAAAAACCGGTTTGGTGGGTTTTTGATTGTAGAGCCTCTTATTGTTTTAAGGTGTAAAGTTAATTAACACGCAACTGTAATGTTGACTGGCTAGTCATCCTGTGTATTGCCTTTTGCTGGGTGCCTGTGGATTGCTTTGAAAATGAAATCAAAGCTCAGACATGTAGGCACCAACCAATCTTTTAAGGATAACATGGTCTGTGGCTTGTTCGGTTCTGTAACGATCCGTTGACTCACTACAATATGATACCGATTACGCCACCTGGGATTCAAACCCAGGAAAAATATAAAATGTCACCCAGAATTGTCTCTTTTTACAGTTTAAGGAGCAGAAAGGAGACACAAGTAAACACAAAAAATTATTCAAAATAATTCTCTTAAAAAGACAAACACTAAACTAGATCCCGATGGCTCGTCGGCTCGGATTTTGAATCAGAAGTGTCCCACAGCCCTCTGACAAAACAGCACCAACACCAAAAAGGTTCCTTCACCTTCACCCATGGGCCCCCATCTCCTGCAAGAAAAAGAAAGAAAATAACAAAAGCCATCAATGAGAAAGGGGCTTCTCACTCAAACCAGTTGATTTTACACAAAATGCACAGATACAGAAATCAGTAATTCAGAACTCAATACACATTGATAAGGAGAGCCTCTTGATTTTAATTCAGTAATTAGACATTCACAGCAAAATGACATTTACAAAGTGCAAATGAACACGGACACAATTTCACCACATGAATCCCTCAAAGTTGTCAGCTCCGGGTCTGCCATCACGACTGGACCATCAGTTCACTTTAAAATACAGTCAAAAGGGGTTAGACAGACTCAGTACTCGCTTCAGACAGCATCGCTCAGAAAGTAGCATCAAATGCTTCTGGATTGTAGCATTTACGCAGCAACAGAAATGTGGACACATTTACGATCTAAACGAGAAGGAGAATATTATAACACACACACACACACACACACACGGCTACAAATCATTGCATTGGTTAACACTCCCATTTACAACCACATGCAAAACACTTACCAAACATGAATGAGGTGCTCTTAATACAAATGTGTCTATCGATATAAAGTCTAAATATATATATATAGACACACACACACAAATTTATCATTAGATTTTTTTGTCTTGTTTCTAGTCCAAATATCTAAAAGTTCTCAAATCAAGAAGCACTTTCTACACAAACAAAACACATTGTCTTGTTTTAAGAAATAATATGCCTAAATTAATTGAGTTTTTCCTTAAATCAAGCAAAATAACCTGGCAATTATTAAAGGTGATAAATGATAAAAGATTATTTTGCTTACCCCATTGGTTGATTATTTTGCTTGATTTAAGGAAAAACTCACTTCATTGTGGCATATTATTTCTTAAAACAAGACAATGTGTTTAGCTTGTCTAAAAAATGCTTCTTGATTTAAGAATTTGTAGATAATTGGACTAGAAATAAGACAAAAAATCTAAACAAAGCATTTTTTGCAGTGTAGAATTTTAAGATCCATTAAGCATTGTTTGATTTAAAGCAGAATACTCAGTCAAAGCTACTGGTCACTGATTAACAACATTCTTCAAAATATATTTTTGTTTGTTTATCAGAAAAAAAGAAAAAACAGGTTTGAAACAACTGGGAGTAAATGATGATAAAGTTTTCATTTTGGTGGAACGGTAGCTAAGTGGTTAGCATGGTTGCTTAGGAGCAGGTTCAAATAATTTTTTTTTTTTTAAACACAAGTAACGTAATCATATCCCTGGGTAATAATATGTATGTGTACATAAAAAAAAAAAAAAAAATATATATATATATATATATATATATATATATATATATATATATTAAGCATTTACTTACAAATGTGTACTTCTGAAAACTCTTAGTTAACTTGTATATAAAGTAATACTTTTGATTAGAAGTAAGAAGTAAAACTTGAATGTAAACATAATAAACTGTGATTTATTACTTGTTCCCAGTTTTATGGACATTTTAGTACATTGAGACTGTAAATGCTGTTATTATTGTTATTTTATATTAAAGCATAATTTGAGTTGGCATGTGTTTGTCTAAGGCAAAAGGCAAATGTGATGACTATGCTCATGGAGGCCCGGAGAGTTCAAACAGCCCTTTTAGATTACCATCTCCATCAATAGCTCCTTCCCCTGTAGCTCGACCTGCCAGTCCCATGACTGAAGGTAAGAATATTCAATATATGAAAATGTCTAAGAAATTAGCCATTAAACATATTACACTCATAAATGCAAAAATGTATGCATCATTCATGCTAAAATAACTGTGTCTGTTTGGTTTGTCTTTTGCTTGCATCTTTCTGTACAACATTCAACTCTTTCCTCCATGTTTGAAACAAAATGTTGTATTTATGTGATTTTGAAAGTTAGTTGTTCATCATGAGACACTCCTCTTTAGCATTTTTATGAGCCTAGTATCAACTAGAAATAATCTGGCATAGTCAGGACTTATTAGGGTGGTGCAGTAGGTAGTGCTGTCGCCTCACAGCAAGTAGGTTGCTGATTTGAGCCTCGGCTGGGTCAGTTGGCGTTTCTGTGTGGAGTTTGCAAGTTACCCTGCGTGAGTTTCCTCAGGGTGCTCCGGTTTCCCCCACAGTCCAAAGACATGTGAATTGGGTAGGCTAAATTGTCCGTAGTGTGAATGGATGTGTATAGATGTTTCCCAGAGATGGGTTGCTGCTGGAAGGGCAGCTGCATAGAACATATGCTGGATAAGTTGGCGGTTCATTCTGCTGTGGCCACCCCGGATTAATAAAGGGACTAAGCCAAAAAGAAAATGAATCAATGAATGACTTATTAGATGTCTGTAATTATATGTTACAATTCTAAGATGTGCACTGTTGTTGTTATTAATGATGTAGTTATAGTTTTTTGGCTTATAGTGAGGAATATATTTACTTATAACATTGAGACAAAATAATAATATTTATTAATGAAAAAAATTTATGTGAAAGTATTCAATAGTATTTTCTGGTTCTAGAATCTGATTGGCTGACAGAATTGGCCCTGCAGAATTCTAATAGTATCAGCACTGTTCCCAAGTGTACCCCCAATGTATTTTTTTAAGTGAGGATAGACCAGGGGTGGCCAACCCTGTTCCTGGAGAGCCACCTTCCTTCAGATTTTAGTTGCTACCCATATCAAACACACCTGCCTGTAATTATCACGTGGTGTTCAGTTCCAAATTAATTGATTCAGGTGTGTTTGATATGGGTAGCAACTGAAATCTGCAGGAAGGTGGCTCTCCAGGAACAGGGTTGGCCACCCCTGGAATAGACTATCTGAAAATGAAGAATCAGCTTCTCATTCCCCATCAAGGGTACCCTTTTGTCGACCAAAGCCCTGCTCATACTGAAATTTCAGCCATGATTTAGTCATCTGAGACAAATTTGGGCAATCCTAAAAGATTTGTGAAATCCTAGGATAAAATCTGTGATCTTTAATCCTGGGTTTAACATGTTCACTGACAGATTTTACTATCAGATTTTTCCTCCGATGAAGTTCTGTCACTATCAGAAGATTTCAGACACTTTCCTGCCGTGTGACAACAGCTGGGATGAGCGTCAATCCAAGAACAATCCAAGAACAAAATTTTTTGATGCAATCCATGCGACAACTCAAATGACCGAGGGGAAATGTCAAAACTGTTTTTTTCTTCCTGATTTTTATTGAGACACACCGTGTGCAAAATTACCACTACAGATTGTTTACGTTTGCTATGAGAAATCCTTTTAGAATGGGATAGTGAAAGTGTCGGGGCGTTTTCTTTGGTGTTTCAGTCATTCAGTCTGACTTCATGCCAGCTGAGATCTTACAGTGTGACATGAGAGCCATGTTTGTCCAGTCTAACATGCTACAATCATTTAGGGTTATAAAATAACTCACAGTGTGTTGGCCTTTAATAATAAAAATCATGTTATGTTACTTTGACACAATCTAGATTGTAAATGGATGAATAAATGGATTTAAGAATGAAAAACATTAGGTTAACACTTTATGATCCATAATTAGATTAATAGACATTAGTGAGCAGTTTGTAAGTACACCTACAAATGGTTTGTAGACAAAACAAGCAGGGCTATTACATCTTAGCGTGAAAAACACAAAGATACAAATTGTGGCATGAAAACTGGGTGAAATGGGTGTGTCTCATTGAGAGACTTGACAGCCTGAACTCATTTTGAATTATCCTAAAGAGCCCCTACTATACATGAAATAGGGTTATATTTTGGTTGTAAGGGTCTCCAACAAAAGTCTAATATGCATGCAAGGTCAAAAAACACTTTCATGGTCTCATAATATGCATTTATTTTTACCTAATTATCCCAGCGACTCCCATATGAACAGTTCTGCGATTCATTTGTTCCCAAGCCCCTCCTTAGCGCAAAGCTAATCTGCACTGATTGGACCGATGACAGCCTGCTGTGAGTGGTCGAGACTGACAGCCTTCAGCGAGAGACAGAGTGAAATGCCCAGCAGCTAATCAACAATATAAAAGTAGTCAGAGTGAATACATGCTTCATAGTGTAAGGCGTGGATTTTGGCTGCCAGTGGGTGAATGTAAATACAGACGATGGACTTGACGACTAACTATTACCCTCCTCCTCAGAGGACACAACACTAAAACATTTAAAAACAAAAAATGCACTTTCAGGTTGAGGGTGGTGTGATTGCCATTTGCCTAGAACACAAGTTCAACTTGCTGGGTGCAATTTAGACAACTCACCTTAAACCTGAGCTGAACTATTTTGAAGCTTGACCGTTGCATGTGTGTAGGAACAGCTGACGGTCCGTGAACAAATCCGCACATGTCGCGTTTTCAATGTGGCTTTACACTCGATATGAGAATATAAAGAGTTAACTTGATAAATGATTAGGAGGCATTAACTCACAGGACTGGGGCTACCCACAGGAGTGATCACCCATGAAAGTTATTCACCCTACACCACAGCACACTCCAGTCACACACCCTGATGAATCAGAAGTGTCCCACAGCCTTCTGACACAACAGCACCACCACCAAAAAGGTTCCTCCACCCATGGGCCCCCATCTCCTGCAAGAAAAATAAAGAAAATAACAAAAGCCATCAATGGGAAAGGGGCTTCTCACTCAAACCAGTTGATTTTTATATATAGAATATAAAGAGTTAACTTGATATCTGCGGTTACAAGTAACAAAACACAACTAAATACATAATTTGTTCATTCAGTTCATTCGACTGGCGTCTCTGTGTGTGTGTGTCTGTGGCTTTTTTTCTTTGTTAGTGGGCGCGGCCGCAGGTTTCAAATCTCAAATCTTTGTGCGCGCAACTACTGTTGTGTTTCGTGGCTGCGTCTTCGTGAAACACCTAATGACTCGTTTTCAAGATGACTCGTTTGAAGAACTATGAGAACTATGACGAATCAAAAGTTTTAAACACTGTACACTTACAGATTTAAGCTTTAGCTGGGTATTTCACTTTACTTAGAGCTGTGTTACACACTACATGGAAGGGCATTTTCAAAAACCCATAATATCGGCTCTTTAAAAATCCCTGACTATTCTTAAATAGCTAGGGGTATGTCCTGAACCGTCATAGTATGAGGGTCAGGGTTCAGTTCACGAATTCCCATAATAAATACAGTCAGTCCACATATGCAGTCACTGGAATTAGGCAAAAAACACCACAGCAGTGCAACAATTGAGGGGCAAGAAAGAGTGAGAGAGTGAGATAGAGCAATGGTTCCGTCATGTTGCCATTGTTGTGCCAACTTGCTACCGTAAACAAAAGCTCTTCTAATTGGTCCACTGCTCTGGGACTGACAGTGTGACAAATGAGCATTTCTGTGAATTAAAGTTGAAATTGTTTTGTCTTCACCAGGCATCTAAAAAAACTCATTACTGGAAATTGTCTTGTATCTGGCTTGTATATATATGACAACAGTCATGTATATCTGTCAAACAATAAAAATAAAAGATACTGACTTATCTTGTGTGCACATACGTCAGTCTTTAAGTAAGTGAGTACATTCTATATGCACACACGTAATATTGAACATTTGTTGTTGGCTGCACCGGTTTTTATTTTTTTCATCATTGTGTTAAATCTCCATCACATGATGCTCTTTAGTTCTATAGCTGACCGTGACAAAATAAACCCTTTTTGAACAATGACCCTAAAACCAAGGTACATACCGAATCGTGCTTTCTGTTCACCATTACACTTTTTTACTAAATAATGCAATACCTAATTTAGTAGTAAAAATGTAATAATTAACAAAGTATGATAATACAATCAAGATCATTATACATGTCATTATAAGTAAAAAAATGCAGCATTTCTAGCTGCATGTATGAACTGCTATATGGCTTACAATTCTCCAACAAAAGAACATATCCTCTGTGTAGGGGCTAGAGTGTAGGTGTTAAAGTGGAAGTAAAGCAGTCTGTGAAGTTTAAATTATTTTGTAAACCGATTTCCACTGTAATGTAAAACATAAACATGATTAAATGTAACCATTTAGAAGAAAAGAGGGTGTTTTATTATAGCTTTTTGAGCAAGGGTACCGCCATCTTGTGTGGTGTGACACCATGGTTTTGGTTTCCTTACTAAAGGTAAATAGATACAGTATCAAAAGATGATTAACCGATGGACACTAGAAAGACAAATACAACAAGTTACATAAGCAAAAACTGCCGATCCAGGCTTGAACACAGCGTAATAGTCAACAGCAAGTGGAAAAATTAAATAAGTAGGCCTCTTTTAGGTTGAGTACTGGACCTAGTTAACTGGACCATGTCCATGACTTCATGCCTTACATTAATTTAAACGATGATTGCTCAATTTTTTTATTGAATTAGGAATATCGGGAAATACTTCCTCATTTGCCATCATTCGTTCTCTGTTACCCAAATAATGGTTAGAAAATAAAATGTAAACCAGTATAAACAAACTCATTCACCAACATCAGCATATCAAACCCAACAGAAATAGCAATATGTCTTACCATGGCACCACGTTTACAAATTCAAACTGCACACGCTGACTGATTTCTAAGCATTATGCCAAATTATATAATCTTCCATGCCATCATATTTAAAATCAGTTTGCAATCCATGCAACCACCTTTTGTCGACAATTGCTCACTTATTTTACTGCCTCACAAAAGCATCGGGGCCCTCTATTGGTGAACTGGTTGACAGTAATGAGGTTACAAAAACATACAAAAAAGACAGTAAATACATAACCCTGTCAGTAGACTATTTGCTGAGTAAACATTGTTTAAAGATGTATGCTACACTGTACTTTAGTTGTACAATAAAGATATTTATTAATGTTGGGCAGAGTAAACAAAACATCAGGTGTTGTTAATTTGGTTTAATGTCTGATAAAAAGTGTAATGTACATCCCCAGCATTTACGCATAATTTATAATAATCATGACAATATTGGTAAGATGGCACAATTAAAACATATATATTTTTTATATGATTTACTATTCAGGATTTAAATGTCTTTAATTTCAAGGAACTCAATATCTGGGTGAATATAATATAAACAAGAATTTGTTTGCAGGTTAGGCAGACTTGGATGAAGTTAGTGGCTAGCAGCAAATATCCAGAAGTTGAGGACATAAGATTGAGCTGGAGACAGGTACTGTGCCCTCTGATGGCCAGTCTAGGCACCTAGACTGATGCATCTGAACAGAAAACAGAAGAGGGAGTTAACAAGCAATACATTTGACAGATGACTTGCTTACAAAAATTACCATTCCTATTGTACAATTGTGGGAGGCACCATCATCTTATCAAAATGAGTTATAAAGTATGAGGATGGTAAAGAATCTGAGGAGGAAAGATCAATGGATGTGGTTCAAGATTAAGAAGATGAGTTTGACTTTGCAAGGGAGGGAAGCATTTATAGTAAGGATGAACGTGTCAGTGATATTGAAAATGACCAACCAATTGCCTTACCGGATAGGAAAAGTGTTGTCACTACAGGTGAATTGCTGGATTGTGGGTTAAGGGTTGTGACAAGTGTTTGGTGAGGTCACTGTTGTAAAAATAAATAAATGAATGATAACCCAGTCCAGGAGACACGTACAAGCAGAATTGATTTTTTGAGATGTGTTGGTTAGTCTGCAGTCAAACAGCATCTTCAAGAAGTTCAAGAGCCTACAGAAGTCTCTCACAGGTCTGCAGTCTACAAGTTTTGATCACAAGTCTGTAGCAAGTCTAAAATGAGTCTAATTTGAGACAGAGACTTTTATATAAATAAAAAAATACCACACAGTCAGAGCTTGGTCTGAAGCCATAATAATCTTTACAGTAATATAACAATAATACCAATAATATGTAATTAATGGTAAACGTCAAATGATCAGTCAAGCACATGAAATACTATATTTATTATCTGTATTATAAAAAAATTGTATGGTTACAAATTATCATACAAATATGCAGGTTCAAATCCAGGTAATTCCTCAGAGGGGAAAACTACTCTAATAGAGCTGACAACAAAAGCAGGAATATAGATCCAGTGGTTCTTTTGTCAAATGTCCTCTGGCCCAAAGTCTAAATAGCATGTATGTGGTCAACCTAGAGACTAACTGAAAATAATTTTATAAGCCATTTGCACACAAATGATCATGCAAAATGTGGTCCAGATGTGCCTCGTGACATCAGATTGACTGACATGGTTGACATTAGAGTACACCATCAGGGCTGGACTGAGACAAAAAATCGGTCCTGAAATTTTGGGACAGAGTGGTCCACTACATTCAATCAAAATGCTACCCATCTGTGCACGCCCTTGAATATGTTTACCAACTCTCATTCTAAAAATGTACAAAAGCCATATATTGGAAATAATGAGAGTTGACAAATTAAAACCTTAAAAGTTTTTATTTATTATTATAATAAAATTATAATCCACACTGGAAGTCCATCCTGTGTGTGCCTGGACTGCCTGCTGATGCACACACAGTTAAAGGTGCAGTAGGTGATTGACTTCAGAAACATTTTTTGTTGTGCTGGTTAAAAGTCTCTTCACAGTCCAACAGTAATGATTACAGTAAATGATCTAAATGTGTTTATATGTATTTTTATATTCTGGGTAAGGCATAAAACTAAAAAATGTTCATCCAATTAAATAGAGTCAGACCGACATCTATCATAATTACGATAAGCAGCTCAAACTGTCTGTCAGCAAATGTAGATTCGGACTTCTGCGAATCTGTTCACGCAGACCCGCCATTCGCGCGTGCCCGTCTGCATAAGCGGCCGCGCAATCACAAGACAAACCGGGAGAAATCAAATGCTGAAGTTGAAACTTCTAAAAACCTGAATCAATATTGGAGTTACTTTAGCACGCTAAAGGAAGGACGACACCATGGCTGAAATATTACTGTTAGATAGGTAATGTTCTGTTTTAAAACTATTTTAGTCAGGCTAAGCTTATGTTAGATTATGTTTTGTTATGAATGACTTCTATGCACAGACGTGTTGTTCAGCCACTGAAATTTCCCAGTGAAAGATTGATGTGATTATTTTTAGTTTCATAAGGTCCTTTTACAGCATCGATAATATAGATTTATATTTAGTTTAACAACAAAACATCAGTAAATAGCGCTATTCCGCCTAACCTGCTTTATTAAGCTAAAGTTGCTTTTATATTCACATTGGGTCATTTTTGAACAATGACAGCCTTCCTATACTGTTTACCATGCTACTCTGAATATTCATTCTGAAATAGCATGTAAGTGTGGCTAAGTAATAAATGTGATTCCTGCACAGTGCTGACACTAACTGGCGAATTACATGAACTAGTAGGTTGTCTGTCTGCTGTTGTGACATGGTCCACACGCTCGCGATTTCAGGGGGTTTGGCTTTTAATCACAGTCCCTCCCCGCCTTCCAAAGATAATATGTTAAGTGGTTAGCATTTTGGCAGATCACCTACTGCGCCTTTAATGTTGATTACCAAAATAAAAATAAATAATAAAAGCAATATGTCAGAGACCCTAAAAAATGCTTAACTGAACAGTGAAACATCAAACATAGCTTAAAGAGTGTACATACTCAATTAAATAACCTTAAACATTTAAAAATGCAACAAATATTTGTTTGGGCCCAAACTACAAAACTAAATGTAAAAAAATAGTATTGGTTTTGCTTAAGTTGCACACTGTCATGTATAAAAACCATTATAACCATATTGTATAATTAATGTAACCGTAGGCCTACATCATGCTGACGAACAAAAAACAGAATGTCATGATATCCCATGTGATTGTCTTCTGACCAAGTGCATCTTAAAATACATGAAATACTCCTCATAGAGCTTGAGAAGCATACATTCGTAATGATATAACTGGTAAAATAAAGACTTGCAGGTTAAGGAAATCGCATATGAGAAAGTTGCCGTGGGCCTTGGTGCAGATGAAAAGTTAAAAAAAAAGTAAATTTATATAGGCTAGATAGAATAGACAGGAATATATTAATCTGTTCAACAGTTGTCGATCTGCTATGCGCTGCAGATGCAAAAGGCAAATGCCTGCTTGCCGCTTTTGCTCTCCCTACGTGCGCGGCCCTAACACCTAACAACACGAGCTCTCCTCGGCCCTAACAAGTGGGTTTACTGTAACGTTAAACACCTTTGCCGTATCAGCTCAAATGCATAAACCATTGGGTTATTGACTATTTGCTCCACCGTCCTTTTAGGTTCATCCTCCATTTTAAAGCAAGCTTTAGACAAATTGAAAAAAAAACTCTCTTGCTCAAATAGCTATAATAAAACACCTTTTTTCTTTGAAATAGTTACATTTAATCATGTTTGTGTATAGTTTCATTACAGTGGAAATCGGTTTACAAAATAATGTAAACTTCACTGACTGCTTCACTTTCATATTAATGTTACACTTTCTTTTGCACTAGTACAACCAGCACAGTTTTGCTTGTCATTCACCATGCTCACATATATGCTGACCATCCATCCATTCATGTTTTTGTGCTCCCTGTATTCATTTAAATGTAATATTTTGTTTAAGAATTATATGTATTTTCTGTTTTTTGGACTGACAATAACCACACTCTTACATTTTTTAGGCGAGGAAGAGGTGCCAGAACACACAGCCATCATTGCTGGTGTAGTGGCAGCTCTGATTCTTCTTGTGTTCTTGACCCTGTTGGCGGTCTATTATATTAACACACATCCAACAGTTGCTCCTCCATTCTACCTCATGCAGGTAAGCACACTATCTATCTATCATGTTTATAAAAATTAGTACATCCTATTGAATTTTATAGTTTTCTGTATCTGGACATAAGGAAACATATGTTCCTTAAGCTTAAAATGTGGAAAATGACACCTTACATGAACAACATAACAACATGTGATGTGTCATTATTGAATAAGAAAAATAAAGCCAAAATGGAAGAACTATTTGTTAAAAACTTAGGACTTGGTATGTTTTAATTTCCTGTAGATCCAATTTTAGATGCAATCATTTGAAATACTCCAAGGTAGTGGGTGGTGCTCTTCTGTCCCAGCCATTCAGTGTACCTTCTCCAGTTGCCCCTTCCTGGTCAGATTAGAAGCAGGTATAGAGAAAAAGATCATACCTGGGTCTTTGTAGTTGTCTGGAAGCTTTTTGGATGGCTGTCACCTTTTATTCCTGCTCTTGGACAAGACCTCTTCCAACCCTAAAACCCAGGTACTTTACCTTTGACATGGTTAGATGATATTGTCAGAGGTTGGCATTCAGTGCAGCCTTTCAGAGTTTGGACAGCATCCTTCGAAGTCTTTCCCGATCTTCCTCCCAAACCTCAGAGTGGATTACCACATCATGAATCCGGTGGAGGCTTTGGGAACTTCCCTTATTCCAAAGAGAACATACAGTAAGAGTAGTTCCCAATATTTCTTATCTTCAAATGCTACTCTTTGGAGTATCTGATTTAGGTATCTGAGGAGGATCTGGTTCCATTTCTTGATGAGGCCATTGGTCCAGGGGTGGTAGACGAAGGTGCAGATCTTTTTGGTTTTCAGTAGCTGACAGAGGTCAACCATTAGCCAGGACATAAATAGAGAACCCTGGTTTGTCATAATCTCAAAGGGTATGCCTAACAGGCTTTAGTGCAGGAAAAGCTTGCTGGCAATGGCTTTGGAGTTGGCCTTTCTGAGGCGGCCTGCTTCCGGGCATCGGTGGGCGTAGTCCATTATTATCAGGATGTGTTTGCACCCCGGGTCTGACTTTTGAACTGCCCCCATGAGGTCATTCCCTATAGTTCTGTTGTTGAATGGATGGACAATGCAGCATACCAACCACTTCCTGACTGGAGGAGAGAGGATGGTTGCGTTGATATCCCGTTGGTAAGCGGCATCCACCAGCTTGATGGTCAAGAACCATTTCTGCAAGGCTCTCCAGGTGAACAAGACAGATGGCCCAATCCTTGATCAAAGCAACTACTTTCTCCATCCCTGCACGTTAAGTGATAAGCTTGAACAAATGTGCTAAAAGTGACTTTAACTGGCTCCAGCATTTGTTCATATTAAAGAAAAATAATAATATCCACAATTGAATTTTCACATTCCTGATTTCAGTTGACCACTGAACAAAAAAAATTCAATGATTTTTACTTTCTACTTTTCTATATATTTAATTTTTATATATTTCTTTACATATTTTAAATAATTTTCATCATCATTTTCATCCGCTTATCCGGGGACGGGTTGCAGGGGCAGCAGTCTTAGGAGAGAACTTCAGACTTCCCTCTTCCCAGACACTTCCTCCAGCTCCTTCGGGAGGATCCCGAGGCGTTCCCAGGCCAGCCAAGAGACATAATCCCTCAAGCGTGTCCTGGGTCTTCCCAGAGGCCCCCCTCCCTGTGGGACATGCCTGGAACACCTCCCTAGGTAGGTGTCCTGGAGGCGCTCAGAACAGATGCCCAAGCCACCTCTGCTAACTTCGGAGGAGCAGTGACTCTACTCCGAGCTCCACCCGGGTGACAGGGGTCCTCACCCTGTCTATAAGGGTGTGCCTTGCCACCCTATGAAGAAAACTCATTTCAGCCACTTGTATCCGAGATTTTGCCTTTCGGTCATGACCCAAAGCTCATGACCAAAGGTGAGAGTAGGAAAATAGATTGACCTGTAAATCAAGAGCTTTGCCTTTCGGCTCAGCTTCTTCTTTACCACAACAGACCGGTACAATGACCACATCACTGCTGTCGCTGGACTGACCCACCAGTCAACCTCACACTCCATCCTTCCGTCACTCGTGAACAAAACCCAAGATACTTGAACTCCTGCACCTGGGGTAAGGACTTCCCTCCAACCTGGAGATGGCAAACCAACTTTTTCCAGTGGAACACCATGGCCTCGGACTTGGAAGTGCTGATTGTCATTCCAGCCACGTCACACTCGGTAGCAAACCGCCCAAGTGCATGCTGAAGGTCTATGTTTGAAGAAGCCAACAGAATGACATCATCTGCAAATAACAGAGATGAAATCCTGTGGTCCCCGAACCAGACCCCCCCAGCTCAAGGCTATGCTTTAAAGTTCTGTCCATAAAAATTATAAAAAGAATTGGTGACAAAGAACAGCCCTGCCGGAGCCTAACATGCACCGTAAACAAGTCTGATATATTGCTGGCAATGCGAACTAAACTTCTTATCTGTTCATACTCCCATAGCACCCTCCACAGACTGCCTCGAGGGACACTTGAGAATGCCTTCTCCAAGTCCACTAAATACGTGTGAACTGGTTGGGCATAATCCCATGAACCCCCGAGCACCCTGGTGAGAGTATAGAGTTGGTCCAGTGTGCCACAGCCTGGGCGAAAACCACATTGTTCCTTCTGGATCCTAGGTTCAACCATCGGCCGGATCCTCCTCCACAGTACCCTGGCATAGACTTACACAGGGAGGCTAAGAAGTGTGATCCCCCTATAGTTGGAGCACACCCTCCAGTCTCCTTTCATAGAAATGGGAACCACCACCCCAGTTCCCCAGTCCAGAGGTACTGTCCCTGACCTCCATGTGATATTGTAGAGACGTGTCAGCCAAGACAGCCCCACAATATCCAGTGACCTAAGATACACAGTGTGAATCTCATCCACCCCCACTGCTTTGCCACTCTGGAGTTTGCAAACTATCTCAGTGACCTCAGCTTGGGTGATGGGTGAGTCCACCACTGCAGTCTCTGCTTCCTAAGAGCTATGTTGTCGGGGGCTAATGCCCCTGGTAGGGTCTCCCAAGGCAAAAAGGTCTTAGGTGACAGTTCAGACTAAGTGCGGTCCTAAAACCCCTTATTAACTCAATCACATCGAGGATCGTGACGTCGCCCGGTATGGCGTAGTCGGGGCCCCACCCTGGAGCCAGGCCTGGGGTTGGGGCTTGTATGCGAGCACCTGGTGGCCGGGTTGTTTCCCACGGAACCCAGCTGGGCTTAGCCCAAAGAAGTGACGTGGGACCATCCTCATGCGGGCCCACCACCTACAGGGGGAGTCGTAAGGGACCGGTGCATTGTTGAACGAGTGGTGATCGAAGATTAGGACTAAGACAACCCGATCGTCGAGCACAGATACTGGCTCTATGGACATGGAATGTCACCTTACTGGGAGGGAAGGAGCCGGAGCCTTTACGGGAGGTGGAACGATACCAACTAGAGATAGTTGGGCTCACCTCCACGCACAGCTGGGGCTCTAGAACTCAACTTCTTGAGAAGGGCTGGACTTTCTTCTACTCTGGAGTTACCCATGGTGTGAAGCGGCAGGCTGGTGTGGGCTTGCTTATAGCTCCCATGGTGTGAAGCGGCAGGCTGGTGTGGGCTTGCTTATAGCTCCCCAACTTAGCCACCATGTGTTGAAGTTTTCCCAGGTGAACGAGAGGATCGCCTCCCTGTGTCAGGAATAGGTCTTTCACTGTGGTTTGTGCCTACGGGCCAAACACCAGCACAGAGTACACAGCATTCTTGGAGTCCTTGGGAAGGATGCTGGAAGATGCTCAGACTGAGAACTTCATTGTTTTACTCATGGACTTCAACGCCCACGTGGGTAATGACAGTGATACCTGGAGAGGTGTGATTGGGAGGAACGGCCTCCCTAATCTGAACCCGAGTGGTGTTCTGTTATTGGGCCTTTAAATTAATTTTTATCTTCAAATGCCAATCTTTTAAAACAGTTTATGTTCTAAAAACAGATTACATTTAAATGGGTTGGTGTTGTGGAATAAAAAAAAAAAAAACACAACAAAAAGAGTGCCCAGCTTTCTAAAAAGTAGGATGCTATGGGATACTTTAGAATAAAATATTTGTGTATGTAAAAATATTAGTCAAAACCAAAACAAAACACACACAAAAAAAAAGTGAGATCAGTCCAAAAATTAATATGTTGGAGAAAAATATTAAACAAAATCTTCATAAGGAGAAAAAATCTCGATTGTTTAGTTGAAATTGCTTTGTTTTTTTTTTGTTTTTTTTCAATAAATTGATTCAATTTAAATGTATTACTGTTCTAATCCTGAAGATGTCAGGTGATCAAACTCAAAAATGTTTTGTTTAATTGGACGTTTGTGTGTATGTTTACTAGAATTGTAAACTATTGTTTTTGTCTGTTTTTTATAGCGCCGTGGCAATAATTATTGGCCCTCCATGAAATTTCGGAATCAAGGATGCCATTCCAGCTATGCTGAAGTTGATCTAGGGGGTTATGAAAAAGAGAACTTCATTGAGGCAGAGCAGTGCTGATGGTGCAGGACTGTCTTTCCTTTTTCTCTTTCTTTCTTTCTTTCTTTCTTTCTTTCTTTTTGTTCTTTCCTTTTTTTGCAGGGGATGGACTCATTTTATGAACAAAGATTGATCCGACACCTTTTATTAGGTGCAATTGGATACTTTAAACAAAATTATTGCAGTCTAATAGTGTACAGCATATCTTTTTTGTGTTCTGATGATAAAATATGTGTAAAACACACATGGATTTAACAGCACTTTTATTGAAATAGCCTGCTTTTGGTGATATAAAAGTTACCTGTTTAACATGATCAAATATCAGAAATTCTTGTGACCATATCCAAAGCGAAAACTACTCGATTTTCATTGTTAAACACCTTTATGGTGTTGCATTGTGAATACACAGTATGCTTACTGTAAAATAAAAAAAAAAAATAAAAAAGGTGGTTTTCTTTGAAAAACACGATTACTACATTGTAAAAAAGTGTTTCTACAGAGACAAAACAGTTTATTGTTATACTAGAGATAAATTATATTAATTACATATTATATATATATTATTTACATAATGCTTTTATCGTATTATAACAGCATGCCACCCATTGATAAGCACAGTTATTCTGCAAAATTAACGTTAAGTGAGCGGCGTTTGTCTGACAGGTCCATTTATGAAAGCATACTCCTAATGGATATTGGATAAGACGAAATGGCCAAGCATCCAGCCCCAAATATATAACTATCTCATTAATACTCCAAGTAAATTTACAAGAGAGAAGTTAAAGGCCTACAAGTCTTTGAATGCCTACAATTTAGTTCTGTGTGGTGATGTGCAAGGAAAAAATGTTCCATTATTACCGGATTCAACACTATGTAGTGCTAAAAACCGAGGTTCTCCCTATCCAAAGACAAGGAAAGAAGGTGGAACTGTACAAGGCCTGGGTAATCATCAACAAGCAAAACTACTGCATTTTGACAGCGAACTGCACCTTTACGGCAGGGTATGTGAACTTACATTTTTAGATTTCATCCTAAGCATTAAGTGTCCACAGTGTAATTAACTATATCTAACTGTTTTTGCTGAAATCATTGCTGCAATCAAAAACAAGTAATGTGTTTGATTCAGCATAGTGTGAACTTACCTGATATAAAATGAAAACTGCATTTTTAATTAGGTCTTCACTCCATTCAGCTCATATGGTGGCTGTTAGCGAAAGACGTCTCCGGTTGGCATTAAAAACAGTGTGGTGTATGGTAAACATGGTGTATGGTCATTCCTTTATCCAGTCAGGTGGAAGAATGGAGTCAGGTTTAGCGAATACATAATGCTGCATGTCATCAGCATTACAATGAAAGTTAACACCAAATTCAGAAAATATACCTATTCTCTACATGAATGAAGCAGGAAATTGATTAGCAATGCCAGCCATAATTCAGACTTGTTCTGGTCATGTTTGGCCCGGACTTCAAGTATCTTGGGGTTTTGTTCACAAGTGAGGGAAGGATGAAACAAGTGATTGACAGATGGATCGGTGCAGCAGTAATGTGGTCGATGTACTGATCCATTGTGGTTCCCTAAGAAGAAGTTGAGACAAAAACAAAGCTCTCAATTTACTGGTTAATCTACGTTTTTACTCAAACCTATGGTCATGAGTTTTAGGTTATGAACAAAAGTACAAGATCTCAGATAGAAGCAGCTGAAATGAGTTTCCATTGCAGGGTGCAACCTTGGGGACAGGATGAGGAGCTCTATTATCTGGGAGGAACTAAAGACAAGAAAAGCCAGTTGTGGTGGCTCTGGCATCTATTTTGAATGCCTCCTTTGTGCCTACCTAGGGAGGTTATTTGAACATTTACCACTAGGGGAGGGCCCAGGGAAGACCCAGGACATGCTGGACAAACTATATCTCTTGGCTTGTCTAGGAACCCCTTGGCATCATTTGAGAAAGTGTCTGGGGTTCTCTCCTGAGACTGCTGCCTTCATGACCCAGCTAGCTGACTAGCTATAGTCAGTATCAGAAAGTCTTCTTTTTTGAAGGAGGTTTGATAAACATTATGCTACTGACAGAGCATAACTTGTATTGAATCCAACATATACTTTTATAACGTTGTAAAAAATTGTACAAATCGTTATACATTTTTTAAATAATTCAAAACACATCTTTACCACCAGAAATATTCAGCAAATATTGAGTCTTTTAATCACAGTTTACTCCTAAAAAAAAAAAAAAAGTATTACATACCAAACCAAACACCTACAAATACTCGAAATTAAAAAACCCACGCTGAGCATGTGCTTAATATTCTATGGAAATACACAAATGTATAATGATTTTTAATGTAAGAGCCAGGGTTTTGGAATCCCACACATTACCTAGGAATAGCAATTGCAGTCAAGAGGGAGAGAGAGAGAGCAAATAAATAATGCAAAAAAATTATACAAACACATTTAATAAATGTGAAAAAATTGCAAAAAAATTAAATATTATGCACTCAGGGATGCATATATTATACAAAATCTTATAAAATAATAAAAATTATACAAAAACACCAAACAGTTACCATACATTCAATGTTTTAGTATAAAAGAGGTTGATTCTATTGATTCATAATAGTTTTTCTATATCTTCTTGAATGTGCATCAGTCCGTATCACTATAGTTGCTCTTTAGTGTTAAAGCTTTTAGCAGTAACATTTACATTACAATAAATTGTGACAAATTAACTGAAGAAGTTTCAATTTACTTTGAAATAAAGACAAATTGATTTGAAAAATGGTTAAAAATTAAATTTACACTTAAACACACCATTGTTCCTAAAGAATGCATGATTCAATTTGAAATGTATAATGCATTTGCTGGGGAGCTAAAGTGTTTAAAAAGACACCGAAAATACATGCTCTATGATAAAGTCACTATTCTCATCACAAACCTCAAAATGATGTCACAATCTCGGTCTGATCACCGGTTTGATCTTTGTGTTACTCTTTCCCTTTCACTCGTATTGTTTTGATCACTCATACCCTGCTTTGTTTACCTCTCGCTTCCCCACCCATCTGCTCTATTACTTTCCATTAGTCTAGCAAAATAATTTCACTCACCTGGTTTCCTTGATTTCTCCCCCTATTTACCCCTACGTTCATCGTAGTTCTGTGTCAGATCGTAGTTTTCCCCTTCCGGCATGTCTGGCGATCTCCCGGTCTAGTCCTGTTCCTTGTATATCCTGTGAGTTTTGTCGTGTCTGATTTCATCCTGTTGATTTTTTCCTAAAGTGTTTTTTCTTCGTCTGCCTTCAAGCCTGTTCCCGTCTGTTTTTGTATTGCTGCCCATCTGACTCCCCGTCTCTATCCTGCCGGCCCTCAACGCTCTCTCGCCGGCTTCCAAGCCTCAGTCTTCCTCGTGGCCATTCTATCCCAGTCAGCGGTGGCCGGATTCATTGCCCCCTGGCGGGTATCAGGGTATTGCACCCTCTTGAAGACTGTTCTTCTAACCTCTCCGGAGTAGTTTCATTTAATCGTTTTTGGAGACTTTATTTCTCAGTTTTGAGTTTTTTTGTGAACTTTGGGCTTTTTTGGCAACTCCATTACGGAGGAATTTTTAGTTTCCTTTTTGAAGATAGTTTTGTTGGCTAGTTTTTTGCCCCCTGAGTGTTTGGGCTTCAGTAAACTTTGCTGAGACCTGCATCTGTGTCTGAACCATCTTCTCTCTCACTCAGACCTCTGACAGTACGATCTGACCAACGATGGACACAGCAGGCCAAGATTCTGTCAGGTCGGCTTTAACTCAGCAAGGAGCTCTATTGGGTCAGCACGAGTCAAGACTCACCAGCACCTCCAGAGAAGTGGAGTATCTCACCAATCAGGTGGCTGATCTCACAGCCCGTCTACACGAGCTTCAGTTCGAGACCCTGCAGGGGGCCCAGGCGTCCCATCAGGCCCCTGAACCACGCTGCAATAATCCCCCTACCTATGATGGGGATCCTACTTCATGCCGGGCATTCCTGTCCCAGTGCTCGGTGGTCTTCACGCTCCAGCCACGCACCTATGCCTTGGAGGAGACTAAAGTGGCCTTCGTACTTACCCTTCTCACGGGCAGAGCTCGCGACTGGGGAACGTCTGTCTGGGAGGCCAGAGCACCATGCGTTTCCTCTTTTAGTAGTCTCTGTCATGAAATGATCAGACTCTTTGACCGATCTGCCAGGGGCCAGGAGGCGGCAGATCAATTAGTTCGTCTTCGTCAGGAAGGTCAGTCTGTCACCCAGTATGCTATAAAGTTTAAGACGTTGGCGGCCTCATGTGATTGGAATGAGGGAGCCTGTCATGCCATGTTCCAGGCTGGACTGGATGAGGACATCCAGGATGAACTGGCGACCCATGACCTACCTCAAGATTTTGACACCCTCACAAACCTGGCTCTTCGCATAGAGGGCCGTCTTCGCCGTCAAGACCATCGAAGACTTCTGCGCTCTTCAGCCAGAAGAGAGGACCCCGGTTCCCTTTCCACCATGGTACCTCCATCGGATCATGAACCCATGCAAGTGGGACGTCTCCATCTCACGTCTCATGAGAAACAGCAGCGCCTGGCTCAGGGTCTGTGCCTGTACTGTGGCAAGCTGGGGCATTTTGCAGCGAAGTGCCCAGTAAAAGCCAAAGCTCATCAGTGAGAAGAGGGATCCTGGTGGGCGCTATTCTTTTCTCTTCCCCCTCATCTCGCACCATCCTCCCTGTTGTGGTCCAGTATGACGGCATTTCTGGTTCCTGTTCTGCTCTCATTGACTCTGGGGCAGAGGGGAATTTCATGGACCGCTCTGTGGCCGCCCAGTGGGGAATCCCGACCATCCCTCTTGCTGAATCTGTTTCTGCCCATTCCCTTGATGGTACTCTTATTGCCACCGTCTCTCACACTACCCCTAGTGTAAGTCTCATTGTATCCGGCAATCACCGTGAGGTCATCACACTGTATCTTTTAGACTCCCCCAATGCACCTATAATTTTAGGGCATCCTTGGTTGGTAAAGCATGGTCCTCACGTGGATTGGTCTGGAGATTCTGTCTTGTCTTGGAGTCAATCATGTCTTAAGTCTTGTCTTGGTCCTGCCCCGTTTCCTGTTTCTGTGTCTTCTGTGTTACAGGTGGAGTCGGTGGATCTGACCGGGGTTCCGGCGGAGTACCACGACCTGCACCTGGTCTTCAGCAAGTCCTGGGCCACCTCCTTGCCTCCGCATCGACCCTACGACTGTGCCATTGAGCTCCTCCCAGGCACTTCCCCGCCTAAGGGACGTTTGTATTCTCTGTCCCGTCCTGAAAGAGAGGCCATGGACAAGTATATTAATGAATCCCTTAAAGCCGGCCTCATACGCCCCTCCTCATCCCCAGCGGGAGCTGGGTTCTTCTTCGTCAAGAAGAAGGACGGCTCCTTTCGTCCCTGTATTGACTATCAAGGGCTGAATGACATCACCATTAAGAACAGGTACCCCTTACCTCTTATGTCCTCAGCCTTTGAACTCTTACAGTGAGCCCAAGTTTTCACCAAGTTGGACCTCCGTAATGCTTATCATCTGGTTTCAAAGGACACCATCCTGCCCAGGGGTGTGGTGGTGGCCTCCCTCTCTTGGGAGATTGAGAGTCGGGTCCTAAAGGCC